CAGCTCTAGCTGTGCCCGAAGACGTTTTGCAAATAGAAACCCATCAAAAAATCACTTAACAGTGAGGCTTCTGCGTACGTATTTTGAAGAGCTAATTTAATAAGCAAGCGTTTCCGACAGGGCAGAGAAGAGGGGAAGGAGAGGGGAGGCACTCAACCGGAAGAAACAAATTTGGCGCCTGCGCCACCATCCCCCAAACTCCCATAAAATAAGCAAACAAAGCAAAACACAGTAAATCAGTGATGCGCGAAATGCTGGTGGGAAGAGATGTACCTCAAATTTATATAGATAAAATGACGTAGAGTTGTTTTGCACAGAATCGAATGATGCTTATGTAAGTTGCATAAAACCCAGGCTGGAACGCACTGGGCGGGCCCGTGCGACCATGCGTTTTTGCACCGAACTTGAAGTAATCAAGTCATTAACTGTGTGAATGGTTGTTGCTTTAGAAGTAGCCTCATTATTCAGTGAGAAATTTTTTTCAGCCAAGACTTTCAAGTGTCCGTTCGTAAAAACCACGCATACCTCAAGGCTGAATTTGAAACACTTAAGTTGGACAGGGAACATTCCCTCAAAATTTCAGCTTTCCAGCTTTTCTGGTTACCGAGTTAGCAATTTTTTCGCCAAAACCTTCACATGCTCGTACTTGGGTAATCCACGTCCTCGAAAAGCTGAATTTTTGAAATTTACAAATTGCAGTTGGACGGGGAACATACCCTTAAAATTTCAGCCTTCCAGCTCTTCTGGTTACCGAGTCAGTAATTCCCCTACAGAAACTTTCATACACCTTTACGTGAGTACCACGCACAGATTATGGCTGAGCTTCCTAGCCTCCATGATTCCCGAGACAATAGTTTACACGCCAAAAGTTTCACCGGGACGTATATATTACCAGCGGATATAGGAAGGTTGAATTTGAGTTTTCTGGATTGCACATGGTCAAGGGGCATACCCACAAAATTTCAGCTTCCCAGCTTCCGTGGTTCCCGAGATAATGATTTTACCCAGAAAACTTTTACGGGGCCGTACGTGTTACCCGCGGGTACAGGAGGCCTGAATTTAAATTTAATGCGCCACCCGTTGGCAAGGGACGCTATACTAAAATTTCAGCCCTCTTTTGTGGTTCTCGAGTTGAAAGTGCGAGACAAAAATGCGGTACACACAGACACACAGACACACACACCCCGTGACAATATGCGTTTTGTACTACTGTTGCACAGCACAAAACGCATAAAAATAATATTTCCTCAAAGTGTTGAACTAGGATTTCTCTCGCTATCGATCTGGAGTTCTGGTGTTGCAAACATGTAGCAATACGCCGGAAACAGTGCGAAAAAACACTAATCGGATCAAAATGATTGGTTATTCGACATTGAAGCCAAGCTGTCTCAGAACTTCTGATTAGAAGACAATTCAGACGCAAAAATAAAATGGATGATTCCCTAATTTAAAGAATCTGCAAATAAACGCGAGACAAAAAGTACAGAGAAATCACATGCTTCCTGCACGATCCTGCAAATAATATTTTTGCACTGAAGCATAGGAAAAAAGCGTGATGCAAAAATTTCTTAATAGCAATGCATAGCAATGCAAACACTAAACATAGAAGCTACCTTTTACTCTAAGTCCAGAAATATCATAATTATTCAAATGAAACGAGAAAGAAATGCAACTAATTCAGTCATTTATCAGCGGTGCCGGAAATACTGAGCTATCCGGAAAGTTGTCACTGAACTGTCAAAAAGTAAAAATCCAGTTCCGTATTTCGCTCTCAAGAGATTTGGAAATATCCCAAGGATAGCAACTGCTAACAACAATTACCTGCTGGCAAGACTTCGAAAGTTGCTTACATACAAGCCGGTGACCTTGGTCGCGACATCAGTCGAAAATACACAAAATTAGTTTGAAACAAGATCAACTAATTCCGGAAACTAGTTACTTATTAGGCAAAAAGTTGAAACAGAAAGACGAAACTCTAAGCAGCATCTGTTCTAGGTATCAATCTGATTCAAGTGGCGGTAAAATAGAGAGAAAACATCATTTTGGCGATGTGGCCTCAGATTTCACCGTTTGCTCTCGAAGGTCAATATATTTCTAGACACAACGTGCTGCGTTTTTATGCACCGTCTTTTTTTACACAGATGTGTAAAAAAAGACGGTGCTTTTTTTACACAATTTTCCCCAAAGTAGCATCGAAGTAGTAAGTTTGCATAAGCGATCGTTGCTCCACATCAACGGCATCGAGTAAACATAATTCTCGCAGAATGATAAGCCACCAGGAGCAGGATGAAAGCAATAATGTGCAATTATTGCCACTTCGCCCGACACGTTATTTATCATGCTGAAAGTGGGAACTCTCACTCCCTTTTACTACTTAACGGGTTAGCTTAATTCCACTATCCCTCCTCAGGATAAGCCACCTAAAATTTCACTACGATGCAGAGTTTCCAATTTCCAGATGAATCCCATGTCGGATTAACTCCAAACCTGGGCCTCCAGCACCAAATTCTCTCTTATATGTTGAAGTCGCCATTACGTTATACTTGTCTTCCTTCTAAACGAAGGATCAGCTCGATCCAGAAATCCTCCACGCTCAAGCCTTTCCTTCACTCACTGTAACAGAACTTCACTAAAACCTTAGTGTTCTTTTAAGTGCGGAGTGCGGGCGACGAATTCGGAAAAGTTAGACAGCTTAGCTGTGTCGTCAGTCATCAAATTCAGTAGAACTCAGTATGCCTCATTTGCTTCTACTTTCATTTTGGTTGTAGAGACCATTCTGAGGGCTAGGTACAATTATGTCTAAAGTAAGACAGTCCCCGTCGGGCTCGCGATGTGCGGCAGCTCTGATGAGGCGGATCCTCGACGAAGAATCTTGAGCTAATCATCGAAAGCGCACTGTACTTTTGTTTCTTATATATTTATAGCACATGTGTTTAATTTTGACTGCAGCCCTAAGTAACAGGAACATCAAGATCACCTGGACTATCAGTTTAGTTATTCTGTATTAGTGATATTACCGGGATGCTCCCTTATATCAGGCGCAGGCAGCTATGTTAGGTTCTTCGATCCTTGGTAACATACCTCCATCCAGTTACTCACTGCCTGTTCAATTTTTGTGTGCTACCTCTTCTGGGGGTCACTCGCCTTCTAAATAATAAGTATAAATACATTTCTGCATGCGAGCATATTACTCATGTTTCACTGAATGGTTTAATAGCTCAGATTCGAAAAAAGTATATTTCCGATAATGTTTTGGTGACATCGAATGCTTCGGGTTAGTCGGTATTAACCGCTTGTCAAAGGATGCGTGCCGATTACCAAAATTAGCCGCTACTATAGTAATGCAGCAAGGATTTTTCTTGAAGTGCGCTTTTGAAAAGTTTCCGTTTTAGCAGAAAGAGCGTTTAATACGAGAAGGGAGAGGAAAGACAGAAGCAGTGGAAAATACTTTTTCTAAGTATTAATTAACACTAGATGCATGCATGTTGGGGCAGCGAGTATTAACTAATTGGAGACATGCAGCTCCGCGTAAACTGGTCTGTGCGTAGCACAACTGCGACCGCTGTGTGGGTACATCCCAGATCTGCGCATCGATTGTTTGGGAGATCTTTGTAACCAGGTAATTTACTTTTTTGCAATCTAATTCACCGGAAATACTTGACAGATAAAATTCGACGCAAAAAATCAACATGGACAGAACGTGTTGCTCGCGTTGCTGACAGCCGGAAGACATCGCGCATTGGTGTACGGTATCTACGACAAAGTAAACAACTATTACTCGGATGGCCTCTAAGCCGCACGGGTAGTGATTGTTCACTTGTCAGTAAGTAATGCTATTTTAGTGGACTTGTTTTCAGCTAGTAGAATGAGGTTTTACAAGTTTTCCTCCGATTTTCCATTCCGCTTTCGACCGCACGTCACTGCCGCTCACAGTCCTCTTTGCCTCACATTCGACTAGCTTCGCTCGCTGAATAAGAACTGTTTTTGTATAGGAGTTTTTTGTGCAGTACAAGCGACTTTAGCTCGAAGTAAAGAGCGAGAGGATGTTGACTTGAGCCAGTCGTTTTCCTTATTGGTTGGGGTCACTGCGATGGATGGATGACCTTGTGTGGACATCGCTCGAAGAAATACAGCTGTTGAGCCTTAGCCGCCATTCCACTACGGTCTGCCTGTCATCCAGCGCGCTTTCATCATTTCGTCCACAGCCTGGCGTTTTCGAGCACATCGCATGTACATGCTTTGTCTTACCTCAGTTACTTCAATGGACAAACTCCGTCAGATACCATATGTGGACTCTCCAATGCTCAGCACTTTTGGGTCAAAAAACATTCTTTCTAAATGCAAATTTCCTCCAAAAAAAGCGTGTTAGTCCGATACTTTGCTGCCCCGATCTTTTCGTCTATTTTCCTTTTACACTGACTACTGTAAACTGTTTCAGAGCGTGTTACTACGAATTCTGATCCAATGCCGAAGCAAATTTTCGAACTAATTGATTACTTGGGCCCACTCGCCGTCTCAGTTGCTTTCATCATAGCTCTCTTCCTGATTTCGCTGATCATCAACTTCTTGTGGATTACCAAGGAAGACGATCGCACTGTTTTTGAAAAGGTTACTTTACAAAGACTACTGGAAAAATTTGTGCAGAAATGACTTAAAAATATCAATTTATCAAAAATGTGGAGTATCGGTATTTGCAGTTTTTGAAAAAGATCAAAGGAAAGGAAATTTTA